GGTCTTTTCCAACCAAACTATTCTCTGATTCCTGCTAAAACTTCCTTTCTGTACAGGACAGAAGCAGTGGAGAAGGCTTCGATGCTGAGGACAAGAGCCATGCGAGAGAAAGAAGAACAAAGGGAAATGAGGAAGTACAACTACACCCTGGTGCGAGTCCGGTTTCCTGATGGATACATCCTCCAAGGTAAAAAGACTTCTTAGCCTTTCTCTGTGCACCCCCAAAAGCTTTGGAGAATACTGGGTAGTGTAAGAGCTTGAATCAGCAGCAGGTTTGAGGTGTGCTGAACACAGCTGGTAGAATAAAGCCATAAAAAGCAGAGTGGGGTAATAATTCTCTACGAACTCTTCCCATCTCTGAACCTTCCACCTGCCCAGGGTTGGGACTCTAAACCAGGGTTGAGTGGAGAGGGGAAAAATCTCAAGGTGCTGTTAATTAAAGCATGCTCTTCCCAGGTTACTGCCAGCGAGCTGGACTCATTAGATCAGTTTGTTACAGGAACCAGCGTGAGGTTCCCACTGTGGTGTCAGTATAAATCCTCTTCCCATTTTCCAGCAGAACTCTGGAAATCATTTCAGGCTTTCCCAACTCTTTATTACAGGCTGGCAGGGACTTGCAACCATTGAAATATCATATTTTTTTCATTGAGGATTCTGCTTTTCTATTTGAATCAGGCTGTTTCTGTGTTCACTGAAGTAGTTCATAAAGTGGGAGCCCCACGAAACCTACCACAAAAAGGTTAGATTTGGTAAATGCCAGAGACTCTCTCAATCTTCTCACCTTGTTTTCTCGTGGCAGGGACTTTTTACGCACGAGAATCGGTATCTGCGCTCTACAACTTCGTGAGAGAAGCACTCAGAGATGACTGGCTGCCCTTTGAGCTGTTGGGACCAGGAGGTCTTAAACTGACTGATGAGAACTTGGCCTTCAATGAATGTGGGCTGGTGAGTAAAAAAAATAAATAATTAAAAAAAAAATGAGAGCTGGGGTCTTCAGGTTGTCAACAGTTATTTCCTGCTCATAAATTAAGGAGGAGTTTGTATTTTCTGCTTTCAGTGCCATAAGTTGTGCTCTGGTTCTTTTTTTAAGTGCAAGTAAAGAAGCTTGAAGGCTTCTAGCTCAAGGCTCTAAGAGGTCTGTCTGGAAGGAACTACAAGAACCTACCTCCTGTGGCAAACACAGGCTGCAGCAGGTGCCAGAAGCTCTGTCAGAGGCTTAGAATCCACACTGGGAAAAGAGGGAAGGCAGCAGCCGTGAGGCAAGCACAGCTCTAACACAAAGAAACAGAAACATAGAATGGTTTGGGTGGGAAGGGACCTTAAAGCTCATCCAGTCCCAACCCCCCTGCCATCAGCAGGGACACCTTCCACTAGACCAGGTTGCTCAAAGCCTCATCCAGCCTGGCTGAGAACACTTCCAGGGAGGAGCAGCCACAGCTTCTCTGGCCAACCTGGGACACTGTCTCACCAACCTCACAGCCAAGAATTTCTTCCTAATGTCTAATCTAAACCTGCCTTCTTCCAGTTTAGAGCCATTTCCCCTTGTTCTATCAAAGCTACCCCCAAAGCCCAAAGCAGCATCCCCTGAGGAGCTTCTTGCAGAAATCCACACCTTTTTTTTTTAAGTTGAAGTGCTCTTAAGTTTTTTCCAGGTCTGTGAAGATACACAGCATGTTCTGAGGTCATAGTAGAACATTGCTATGGTTTAATAACACATCTTGTTCTCTGCCAGGTGCCCTCAGCCCTCCTGACTCTCGCCTGGGATGCAGCAGTCATGGCAGACATTGAGGCATCAGGGGAGGAGCAGCCAGCAAGTCCCCTTAAACCAGAACTTCTCTCCAGAGTCCAGACACTGTCGTGAAATAAAAGGGAGTGGATTCAGTGCTGGTGGTTTTAGACTGTTCCCTCATTTTCCTCATAGAGACTGTTGGGGCTTCCAGCTACGTGACCTCAGAAATGACTTTGTTTTAGCTGGAGTGGGAGTCCAGATTCTGCCCTGTCCCACTAATCTTGTGGTCCCCTCCACAACTCCAGTAGCCACACACTAAGGCAGCGTTGCCCACTTACAGGACTGCTGAATGGCTTTAAAAACCAAGTTCTAGCAGGTACTGCTTGAGATGTTTCCAGGACCATGATGAAGCACCACTCTCCTCCCTGGGAGGAGGGATGAGGTGCTAGTACTAGGCTGGATTACTGATTGATTGAGCCTGGATATTGGGCTGGGCTTAGACCTCAGCTTTTCCTTTTGCTTCTATGTGCACTGTAACTCCTATGGGAGAGAATATATTTAGATAAAATTATGCTTCATCTGATTAAATGGAATATATAAAAACTGAGTTCTGTGCAAAGTTCTTTCATAGAATCATAGAATGGTTTGGATTGGAAGGGACCTTAAAGCTCATCCAGTCCCACCCCCCCTGCCAGCAACAGGGACACCTTCCACTTGACCACGTTGCTCAAAGCCTCATCCAACCTGGCCACAAACACTTCCAGGGAGGAGCAGCCACAACTTCTCTGGGCAAACTGGGACACTGTCTCACCACCCTCACAGCCAAGAATTTCCTCCTCACATCTCATCTCTATCTCCCCTCTGCCAGTTTAAAGCCATTTCCCCTTGTTTTGTCACTAACTGCCCTTATAAAAAGTCCCTCCCCAATTCAAGTCCCTCCTTCAATTACATTACTCTTACAGGTTAGAAATACAGACAAGCTCCAGTCAGTGCTGGAGCTGGCACTGGTGTTACTGGTGCAGCTGTAGCATTACCCACCTTGTCACTTCATGTCACCTACAAGCAGAACAGGAGACTGACAACCAGCAGCAGCTATTTGTGCTGCCCACTGGTGAGAGGTTAAACCTCAAACTACAGCCAGTATTTTAAAGACCCGACTCCTCAACTCACAAGCCATATAAAATTAAAAACCCCAGCAAATTTGTTACACAGATGAACAAGTTTGATGCTAGTTCAGTCCTTTATACTTCAATCTTAAATGTTTTTCTGTGGGGTAGAGATCAGCTTTTGTGTATACAGCAATGGAGACTGATAATCTACTCCTGATAAGTAATTAATACTGGTCTACCCCAAAATGGGAGAAAAAAA